CGATCGATAATTATTTCTGATCAGTTTTACTAATTATAGTTATTACTTCATGGAGTAACCCGGAGCAACCCGCGGAGCAACCCGCGGAGTACCAGTGATACATTTAACCCAGGTTGGGTTGGGTTGACCATTGCTCCGCTATAATATGAACCCAACCCAACCCATTATATTCTATTAACAACCCTAATTACAGTGCACGCCACTTCAAAACTGAAATCACATGATTTGTCCCATTCTCAGGGCAAAGGGGAAATTTAATCTGTGCGTAGGGTAACAGATTCTTATCTTATGCCGACAGGGGGGTTAGGGTTTGAGTTATCAGGGGTAGTGTATTTATCACCGCGTGTCACACCTTTCGAATATCGAAATTTTATTAAATATCTTAGGGACTTAGAATTTTTTTGCATGCGGAAGCCATATTTGTTATCCAAAATTTGTCACCTAACATTTGTCACATGAAACTTACACGTGAAATTAATCGGATCACCTGCAAAGTTATTAACCAATGAAATTCGAAAGGTAAAGGTGCACAGGATAAAAACCTGTACGGGGTGCACAGGTTAAGGATACTCCAGGGCAAAACCCATAAAATCACGTGATTTCCATAAGTAATATTTCACGTGTTGAGCGAAATCGTTTAAACAAAATGCATAATTTAATAATTTAATGATTTTTTTAAATGATCCATTATTTAATGATAAATTTAATGATTTATGATACAATAATAAATTTAAATGAAAAAATTAATATTATTTTATTATATTTATTTTAATTGAATTCATCCTTTCTTTCTCTTTTATAACTGTAAATGCAATTAATTTATCTTGCGGAATTCACTATATGATTTAAACTTTTTACATGCATATTCTGCTAATTTTCCTGTTAACCCTCACGATTTAATTACATATATCTCCATAATTTTTGGGCATATCTTTTGATTGTAGTAATGTCCACTAAATCAAGTGCTTACAGAATAGTTTCTTGCAAGCCCTCCTATGTGTAATCACAATTCCTTGTATAATGCTTGGCCGTGTTCCAATACATATCTATAAAGTTAAGTTTGCAGTGGGATTTTGGATAAAAAATGCATAAATGTTTTGTATTTTCAATTAACTCAACAATGATAAACTTTTGTGTTATGAAATCTGGTTGTGATGCCAAAATCTTCTTTGCACAACAGTCAATTCACAGGAATTCTTTTTTCTTACACATTGAGTATTCTAAATTCAATTCTTCTTTCCATAAACCTCTTTCTTGTAATATTTTTTTTATCCCTTTTGACTTTTCTTACAAGGTCGAATCAAAGTAATCTTCTAGAAATACCATTTGTTGAATTATTTCTTGTTCATTTTTATTAATAAAAGTTATTAATTTTATACTTTGTTGATTTTTCCCAGAATCCAAATTCATTCTTGTCATGACAAGAGCATCCTTAACATATGCTGCATAGTTAGTGTATTGTCAAATGAGAAAACAACTGTTGCATTTGAAAACTTTGCTTTAAAAATAGGAATCACTTTAAATATAATCTGTTTCATCAAATGATCAAAAGTCCAGTAGTCTTCTTGATTCTTTCTGAACTGAAGATAGTAACATGCTTCTATAGATATATATAGATTTCTTATTATTTCTTCTTCATTAAGCTTCAATTGGTCACAAGCTTCTAAAAGAAATTCGTTTACTATAATTGATCTCCTATTTTCCTTCTTTCATAATGGTATTTTTTCATTAACCATCCAAATTTTTCCTTTTCTAACATTTGCATAAAATATACACTTATCATAAGTGACAAAAATTAACTTATGTTCATTTAATGCAAGTTCTGATGGAATTATTTCTATTTCTATTCCTTCATACTTTGCCATTCGTTATTTCAATTCCTTTATTATTTCTAAAAACTTTTTTGATAATTAATAACACCCTTTCATTCATGTCTATCGTAATAAATACCTTTTCGATATTCTTTATATTGACATCCCAAGATATTCAACTATCTTTCAGTAGTTCATAAGCTAATTATTTTTTTAGTTCCTAGATATTTGGATAAAATAAAATTTTCAATATAGTACTTAAAATAAATTAAATTAATATTGTTTAAATTTGATTCTTGTTATATCCACTGTTACAAGTTCAATGCAACATCTTTATCTTCAATAAGTTACTTATATTTTTGGTACTTGCTATGATTTGAAACTGGAAATAAATTTTAATTTAGAAAAAGTTTGGCCAAGGAACAAATTCATTTAGTGGTACATGGTTTCAGATTAATATAAATTATATTTGCTGTCTCTTCACTAGATTTCATTTTCTATTGCCATCATTTAATTGTATGAAATATTCATAAACAGCATGTTGTCTGTTGTACTTGAAGGCTATAAGTATCCTTCCATTCCTGAGAAGGTCACATCAAAATTGCATAATTCTTTCACTAAGTATTGAATTTTCATCCATCTCTGCTAGAGAATCAGATAGCATAAGAAGAACAACTAGCAAATCCATTTAAAAATTTTTTATTTTTCCAAAAAATATTAACATTGGCAAGTACACTGGAAGTACCAAATTTATAATAATAAGTTGTTTTTGGTATTCTCTTTATTGTTCTTTGGTTTTTTTCAGGTTTGTTCTATATGAGCACTGTTGCAAGTAGACATGTTGTATTTTTTCTTTCTCTTCAATTCCTTTTTTTCCCTCTCTTTAATTTCTACACTTTCTTCATCAGTCTCGAACTTTTTGTTGATCTCAGTTTCTTTATTTTTGTCAACTGATATTTGTTGTCTTTTATTGTTGTATTCTTGAAACCTCATAAATTTTTTTTCTTTTTGGCATTTTTTCTCATCCCTTCATGATATCATCCAGTAATATTGAGAACCGTGGTTTTCTATCAACCAATAGAATTACACACATGATATTATTGGCTAATGGCAGGTCACGTATTTGTCCCATTTGGTATTAACCATATATAAGCGGGACATTTTTGAATCAGGAATGAGTAATTATTTTTTTAAAAAAGAGGTTAGCAATTTGTAACAAATTAACTTAGCTTCAAAATAGCAGCTTTCTTTTTTTGTATCTCGACTGTATCACGTGCTATAACGTTTTAAAACTTGCGCACGATTTGTATGATTTATACGGTCAATTAACTTAAATCACGTGATATGTTTTTGTAAGTTGGATATAATCAATTTTTCACTTTATAAATTGCAAATCGGAAATAGTTCATAATGTTACCACATAAAAAACTTTTTATTTTAATAAGTAAATGTCAAAAATGATTCCCGATACCTTCAATATAAGAATTAATAGCATATTATATAAAAAGGATAGATATATATTATCAAAATTGAGAGAATGATTCACAGCTAAAGTTCGAACGGGCGAAAAAACTTAAAACGACAATCATTCGCTCAATTTTAATGAAATAGGCCTGCACTTCTTACAAAAAATGTAATTAATATTTGTCTTTGAGGTTAATTAGTATCATTTTTGATATTCACTTATAATATAAAAAGTTTTATATGTAGAAACTATTGACAATTTTGTATACAATTATGTTTTTGTTTTTACATACAAAATCGTCGATCGTTGCTACATATAAAAGTTTTATTTTAATAAGTAACGTCAAAAACGATACTAAGTATTATTTGATTAATAAAAGAATATATAATAATTAATCAATTCAATTTAAATATTATTAATAAATATGTATGCTATATTTTTTTAATATTTAATTGTTTATATTTTTAATATAAAAAAGTTCATACAGTACAATTTAGATTTTTATAAATATATTGGGTTGTACTGTATTGTACGAAATTTGTGCAAAATTTATGTAAAATTTCGTACCGTACAGTTTATCGTCATACCTTTTTGTTAATAGTATTTTAACAGATACAAAATATCTGAAATCTTTTTTTTCAATCAAATTTACGGTGGTTTGCTATTTTTAGTATATTCTCAAATTTGGTAGGTATAATTAAATACGGTGACTTCGACCTCAGTAAAAGTTGATCAATTTAAATCATCAGATCAAAATTTTATAAAAGCTTAGGTTCTGAGCTACCGATTTCTACAGTTAATTTTTATTTCTATATATAGTAAATAAAGTTTTAATGAAATAAGACTGAAAAATTTTTACTATAACCAAGTTTCTATTATAGAGGTTCCGCGCTGTATAAATATAAATTTTTTTTTTTTGCGTTTATTTTATTTTTTTCGCTTATTTATATAATAAATCAAAACAAAATTAAATACCATTAATTAATTATTTTTTATTATTATTATTTATTACTTTTAATATTATATGGTTTGTGTAAGAATTTTATTAGATAGTTTAAATAGCCTATTGACATTTTAATATTATTTTATTTTAATTAAGAGTTCAAGAAAATAAATTTTTATAGTATCAAATATCGTATCGTCTCGTGTTGTTTTTTGTTTAATTAAGGAAGGTTCTATTTATCGTTTGTACAGAAATTTGCGCATAAAAAAAGCCATCATATTACGATAATTACTAAAGCACTACAACTTGTCAATTATGTACAATATCATTAACGATAACACCTGAATTAAGGATAGGTAATTTACTCTGTACTGTAAGCAAATTACTCACATAACAACAAGAAAAAATGGCTTCTTTAACTCTCTTTTGGATAATAATGAGAATGCTATGGTAAATACGATTAGGTACATGTTCCAATAATGTACGTGTATGAAGTACGTAATTTTTGATATAAATATATACCTTTGATTGATAGTTTCCCTCCCTCTATTCACTTTCACTTCTATAATGTTGAATAGAAACTTTTTTTTTTCAAAACGCCTGGACTACAACTACATCATAACTTATACCACCACAATTCTTAAAAAGAGGGCGACTAATAAAATTATCTGTAATATTGATAAAATGGATATTATTTCAAGAACAAATACACCAAAATCGTCTTCTGTAACCCAACCATTTACTTGCCATGTCCAAAAGATTGTACGAAAACAAAAACATCAAAGACTACTTCGACCTCTACTTTGATCGTTACTTCGACAAATTCTACATCCTTATCTACCTCCATCATCATAGAAACATGTATTCCTGAGGGCGAACTATGTTCTTATAATAATTACTGTATTGGAGTATGTGGTGGTAGTTTAACCCGTAGATATGTAAATGATTCATAATAATAATATGTAATCACTTGAAATTCCATTATAATAGTTTATATATTTTAGAGAATACGAGCAACACTTCTAGATTATTATTATTATTATTCAATTCAACAGAATAAATTCCTCTTTTACAAATAAGTCTAATATACTTAAAAAATGTTGTTATTTATATAAAATAATTTTCATCGATAAAATTTTGTGAATCGTAATTTTGAAAAGAGTTGTAGAAATTATTTTGTCATGGTTGCTTGACAGTTTTGTATATTATGAGGGTGATGACAGTAGTTGTAGAAGTAGAAATAGTAATAATAAAAGAATTTATCATCATCATTATCATTAATCTTGTTTTATATTTTTGAAATAAATAAATAAATAAATTGCAAATATAATCAAGCTATTGTCAGTATTAAAATTTAATGAGAAAGAGCAATTGAATTGAAAATCTGAAGCAAGAATTTACGTAAATCCTTTAGCCAATGCAGGTAAAATTAGGCATAAGAAAAAAAGTAGTCATATGTATCTTATGCTTGGTTAAATTAAATATAGAATAAAAGAATAAACATGAATATACATTGTATTTATTGTATTGTTAAACAATCAGGCGTTAAAAATTTTGTTTTTTCAAAAGAATGATGCAAAAGTGTTATTAGTTAAATCAAATATTTATTTATATTGAATTTTAATTTATTTTGTTCATTTTATTGAAATTATTTTGTCATATGATAATTTTTAAGTTCATGACTTAACATTAAAGTTGTCTGAAATCAATGTTTCGGGTACAAGTGTTGAATTTGAAACTTCTCCTTCACATTCTATTAATGCAATAAAAAACTTAAATACTTAAGTTGCATTTTTTTTTTTTTTTCTGAGTTTTTAAATCTCTCGAAATATTCATTAATATAAAATTTTTGTTTAGAAAAAAAAAAATAAAGATAAACTCTTCGTTGATTTTTCTAAAAGAAAACTGTATGTGAAAATTTGAATTCTTTAGTTTAGCTGCCAACTAAATAATTGATATGAAGAATACCTCCTTTAATTCATTATCACAAACGAAATTATTCAATATTAACAAAAGAAATATGTCAAATTAGTTACAAGGTTTCAGAAGTAGTCTCTCTTTATAACTTTAAAATTTTTTATGGGAAAATGCTTGATTATGAACGTGACATGAACTTTGAATTATATTTTGAAATCAGCTGAAAAGGATATTTATATAGATGGAATAGGAACAAAAGATGTATCAATAAAATTTAAGTTCGGTAAATATTAATGCAATGCAATGTATAGTACTGGTGCACATTATACTGTAATGTAGGAAATTTATTATGCAAAATGGTAATGATAATGTAAAATCTTTTTTTTTTTGAATGGTTTAAAAAAAAAAAAAAACTGCAGAAAATGATGCTATTGAAGGTATATATATATAAGACCGATAAATATTTTTATCCAGGAGTTGGGACCAAAAATGGATTTTATAAGACGACATACTAGTTAAATAAATGAAGCAAAAGGAAATAAGTATATATAAATTTAAATCCATTATTAGAAGAGATAATAATTGGTAGAATAAACTTATAAGTTAGAAATATAGATTATATTATTATTATTTATATCGAATTGAAAAACGTCTACAACATAATCCTTTAATTTGGACCGCGTAACATACAAAAAAAAACATACACCTATATATTAAAATATTTTGTATTTTAAGGCTCAAACAATATTAATATTGATAAATGTCAAACGAATGAAAACTAACGTTAATATCTATTTTTAATATGAATTGTTTTATATTTGTGATCAGTGTAAACTCATAAAACATTCACAATAACACATATTATACAAAATATTGTTCACTTGAAAATTTTTTTTTATATTCAACAACAAAGATCAGTAATAAACGTTTGCAATACAGTAAAGTAGTGAAAAAAAAAATCATTCAACAACAATATCAGTAATAAACGCAGTAAAGTAGCGAAAAAAAAAATCATTCAGAAAATAATTTGGAAAGGCAATTATTTAAATAAACCTTACGCACCTTCTCATTCTGACCTTAGTCACATTAATATAATATAAACGCACACCAAAAAAAAAACGAATTAAACAATATACTTACCCAAGATTAATGCAATCTTTATATCAAAAATTGAAAAACTATTTAAATTAAAATAAATAATTAATTAATTTAAATTATATTAAATTAAATTAAATTAGATTAAATAACTAAATATTTAAATAAAAATATTTAAATAAAAATAAATAAATAAATAAATAAATAAATAAAAGTAAATAAATAAAAATAAATAAATAAAAATAAATAAATAAATAAAAATAAATAAATAATAATAAAGCAAAAAGGACAAAAAGTTTGATATTTACCAATCCAATCGTATGTACACAATGCCCAAATTAATCCATCCCAATTATCTTTAAGTATCTATAGAATAAAATACGTATGATGTGAAAAAAAAATTGTCTCATCCAAAAAAAAACAAATAATAACCATGCCGTAAATAGGTATTAAAATCAAGGGTTACACCAAACTTTAACTACTAGAAAGTATTTATTCAATAAGAAAAAAAAAAGAGCGCAATATTATTTCTGCAGATAAAAATCATTGATGATTCAACAGAAAAAAATAAATCATTTTTTATATGTAGATCTAAGATCCATTCCTTTTGTGTAGGTCTGATTTGAGTTTCCGTATTTTTGTGCAATCACGATTCAAACTCCTGCATCGACATTTTGAATACAAACTTCAAAAAAAAAAAATCAATCAACGTCACACGGGACAATAAACTTTAAAATTGAAGTAAAAGAAAATGATAGAAATGATAGAAATACCTACAAAAAAGAAAAAAAAACAAAGCAATAAATAAATTTCCTACAACAAAAAAACTATTAAAAAAAAAAGACAAAAGTAAACAAGTCATAGGATTATTCGTCGTAAGTCACATGTTTTTTGTTTAGTCCAATAATAGATAAAAATAAAGTCCGATGTGAAAAAATTCACTGAAGCACAGTTATTGTGTGACTCGTTAAAAAAACGTTCGTTTAATTAAATTGAAAAAAAACAATCCTTAGTAATTTATAATGTCTCAGGTTAAAACAACAACAAACGATCATGAAGCTATTAAAGGATGGGATACTTGGATGAATAATTTAATTATTGAAGAAACCATTCGAAAAGAAAATATTTCATTTTATCAATATTCGGAATTTAAGAATGTGGAATTAATTGATGGGAACGTTTATAAAGCCACTTTTGAACCTTTTCAAAAGACGGTTACTCTCAAATATGTTACTTTAACTGATTATTTTACTTTGGAAATTTTAATTAATGAAGTAAGTTCAATTAAATCATTTTGTCCGATTATTTGAATTTTTTAATTAATTAATTAATTAATTAATTAATTAATATATGTATATATATCTCTCTTCTATTTTTATTTCTTTTTTTTTTTTTTGTTATTTTAATTAAAAAAAAAGATTAAACGACATCGAAAATTAGAGATTCATGATAGTATTCTTAAATTTTATGGGATTACTAAACAAGGTAAAAAAATAAAATAAATAATTAATTTTATTTATAATTTTTTGAATATTTATTAAATTTTTATTTTTATTTAGAATATACAAATAATTATATGATAATTCTTGAATATTCTAATAATGGATCCCTTCGTCAATATTTGAAAAAAAATTTTCAACAAATGGATTGGAATATGAAATTAAACCTTGCCAAACAAATTTCAAACGTTTTAATGCATTTACATTCTAATGATATTATTCATGGAAAATTGGTAAATAAAAATGAAATGAAATATGTTCTTATTTCAAAAGAAAAATGAATGAATGGTTTCTAATATCAATTATTTTTATTTTTATTTTTATGATTTTTATATTTATTAGAACACAGAAAATATTCTTGTTCATAATGGAAATATTAAATTAGATGATTTTTGTATAGCCAAATGTATGTTGAAATCTTTAGAATTCCTTACAAACACTTTTGGTCCAATTCAATATATTGATCCTCAACATTTGGAACTTTTCAATACAATTGGAAATAATAAAAGTTCGGATATTTTCAGTTTGGGAATTATTCTTTGGGAAATTTCTAGTGGGAATGCTCCTTTTGAAATAGAATCACTTGATGATGATGATCTACTAAATGACATAATGAGAGGGAAAAGAGAAATGATTATACCTGATACACCATCTAAATATAAGGAAATATATACAGGTAATTCATTCATTAAATTTATTATTATTATTATAATTATTATTATTATTATTTGGAATAAATAAATAAACAAATTATTTAATATTTGTATTTGATAGATTGCTGGAAACACAATGGAAATTCAAGACCAGACATTTTTCAAGTTGTTAAAAAACTTTCTGAAGTCAATATTTTAGAGGCGGAGGTTGAATTTGAAAGTTCAGAATTACGAACTTATGATGATGATGATTACCATAAATTGGAAAAATTAAATATGTAAGTTATGCATTGATTATTTAATTGTAAAAAGTGCATTGATTAATAATAAAAACATTAATTAATTACAAAATTTTCATCTTTTATTATTATTATTTTTTTTTTTTAGGCAAAATAATAAAAAGTTAGAAATTCAATTCGATTCATTTGTTGATGGTACCACAGAAATTAATGTATTCATCAATGATTTATTTGAATATTTTGTGGATTTACTTAAAAAGCAAAATCCCAAGATACGACCAATTATGATCAAAAAATATATTAGAGAATGTAATAAACATCCAGTTAAAGTTTTATATGAAATGATTAATCATCAATCTTATTATTGGTTCACTAGTTTAATAGGATTTTTTTATATGTATGGCGTGGGTACAGTTAATGATAATAAGATGGCCTATAAATTCTTTAATTTGGCTGCCAATCAAATAATAGATATAAAGAATACTTCCCCTAATTCATCATTATTACAAAAATTACATAACATTAACAAAGAGATAGGAAGTATTTATCTTGTAACCATGTATTTAAAAGGTATGGGTGTTAGGAAAGATATGAAAAAAGCATTTCGAATTTGTTCCAATATTGCTGAAGAGGGATCAGTGGTGGCTTTAAATTATTTGGCTCTTATATATGAAAACGGATTTGGAGTTGAAAAGAATGATGAAAAAGCATTTGAATTATATTTGAGATCCGCTGAACAAGGATCACTGGTGGCACAAAATAACATTGGTTTATGCTTTAGGTATGGAACGGGTATATCCAAAGATGTAAACAAAGGTTTTCAGTGGAGTAAAACATCTGCTTTGGCAGGAAATGTTGATGCCATGACTAGTATTGGATATTGTTATTTTGAAGGGATTGGTGTAGATGAAGATAAAACTGAAGCATTTGAATGGTATTTAAAGGCAGCCAAAAAAGGGCATCCTATAGCACAATGTAATTTGGGATATTGTTATACAAATGGGGAAGGAATTGATAAGGATCAAGTTAGAGCATTTGAATGGTTTAAAAAAGCCGCAGAAAATGATAATATTGATGGTCAATGTATGGTTGGTTATTGTTTTTATTTAGGTCATGGAACTAAAAAGGATATAGTGAAATCGATATATTGGTTGAATAAGGCTAGAAAAAATGGAAGTAGTGTTGCCAACTTTTTATTATTAGGAATAATCATTCAGATAAAATAATCCGAATTAATGAAAAATAATTAAAAATCTTTATAAATCATTTTCTTTTGGAATTTAAGTGATTATAACCATATGAATTTTTTGTAAGGCATTGATTTATTTTATATTAATAAAGAATATTTCTATAAGTTAAATGCATTATTTCTTGCATACGAAGTGATCGAATCACGAGATAACGTGATTTGCGTGTAAAAAGAATGTGACAATTAAAAAGTGATTATTTTAACTGTGATGTAACTCGAATAATAACTGAAAATTTTATCACTTTATGAAAATGTGATGATTATATGTTTTATGATGAAAACTTAAAAAAATTTAATTGTTTGTTTGCTTGCTTGTTTGTATACAAAATAAATTACATTGCATTATAAAAGATGTGATAAACCTAGATACACTCTTTTTTTATCCACCTTTTTCAAATAATTTAAAACCATTCTTTTTTTCTTTTTTTCCCCCGTTACATTCACATTTCTTTAATTTCTCTTCCAAATCTACAATTTTTTTCTTCAATATTTCATTTTCTTTCTTCATAGAATCTATTCTCTGCGTACTTTCAACAAGTCGATGTTGAATCTCTGCATCCTCTCCCTATCAATTAATTAATTAATAGTATCGTTAAAAAATAACGAAAGAAAAATAATAATGTAATGGAAATTATAATAAAAAATAAAATAAAATTGAAATTATTAATTACATGAATAGGTCCTGCCAACAATTCGAATTCCAATATTTGTTTTGCGTCAGGCCTTTGTTCTGTATTTTCGGCCATCATCCACAAAATAAATGCTGCCTATAGACGATAATAATAGTTAATAATAAATAAATAAATAAATAAATAAATAAATATATATATATATATATATATATAAATAAATATATATATAAATAAATAAATATTTAATCAAATTAAATAAAAAAAAAATTTAAAAATAAAAAAAAAAACCTCTTTGGGAAATTTCTTAACAAATCCATTTGGTAGAATTCCGTGTCTCAAATCTTTTAATACTTGAACACGTTCATGCCCAGTAGAAAATGGAAAATGAAGTTCAAAGAATATAATACCCAATGAATATATGTCAGCTTTTTCATTATAAATTTTAGTTGGATTTGCAAGTTGTTCAGGTGAAGCATACTAATTAATTAATTAATCCCCCCAAAAAAATAAAAAAAAAAAATATGTATATATATAAGAATACGGAAATTAAATTCTATAACATTATATGATAAAATTAATCACGTCAATGAAATATTACTGTGACGGTTCCAACGCCCGTGGTTCTCGGTTTCGAACTATAAGAAAAAGAAGAACTAGGTCTATGATTATTGATGTTGATGTTAAGATGTTTATTGTTAGAATTTTCACCGGGTGCACTACCGAAATGAAATGAATGATATTCATCAATTGGTGATTCCATATGATTTTCATCTACCGCTGTTACTAATCCAAAGTCCCCAATTTTTGGTACCAATCGATCGACAGAATATGATGAAAAATCAGTCGTTACCCATCCTTCATGACCTTGACCACTTTCCGGAATTATTCCCACAAAAATATTTCCAGGTTTAAGATCTCGATGAATTAATCCTTGTTCATGAATATATGCTACCCCGCGAACGATTCCTCTAAACAATTCAATACTAGCATGACGATCTAAAGCGTTCAGGGGATCTTTTTTTGTGGTTAATAAATGTGCATCTCGAAGTTTCATATAATCAAGTAAAGAAGCGTGACATAGTTGCATCTGAATAAAAAGCATCCAATCACTTTCGGGATGTAATTCCTCATCATCATCTTTATTAAATTTCTTATATTTCTTATTATCAAATTTTAAACGTTTCTTGAGATTATTATTATAAGAATCATTATTTTTTTTTGTAATTGATAATTCTGAAGTTAATTCCGAATTTGATTCGGAATTTAATTCATTATTCACATTTGATACATCATCACTACCCACAAAATCAACTCCACTATAATCAATTTCTTCATCTGAAAATGACATTCGAAAAATATCGGAATCATCATCTGATTCAGTGAAGTTGGGATTACTATTATAATGTTCACTGGATTCCGATGAATTTTCGGATAAATCATTTGATTCATGATTAAATCTATGATATTCTAACCATGAACTATAATATCTAACTACATTTGTATGTTCTAATCGAGCAAGAGATTTGATTTCTCGAAAAATCTAAAATTCCCCCCAAAAAAAATTCGCAATTTCATATGTTGTTCATAATTAGATAATGATGATATATATCTTTGATACATAATATTGGGAAAAAATCAAACTATTAATTTATATACCTTTCCCTTTGATCCCGGAATTCTATTACCCCGAAGCCTAACCTTTTTGATAGCATATTCAATTCCATCCAATTTATTTTTTGCCTGTTTTTTTTAAAAAAAAAGATAATCAGATATATATATATATATATATATTATTTTTTTTTAATTCAGATTCTATTTTATAATAATAAATAGATAAAAAAATACATAATAATAATTTTTTTTTCTTGTATTAAAAAAAATTTTTTTTTAAACAAATAATAACAATAAATCCAGGTTACTAAAGTGAAATTCACCTTCCATACACTCGCGAAACCACCTTTTCCTAATAATTTGATTTCAATAAAATCATTATTGTAACGACTATTCTCAAGATCTAAAATATCCGCAAATGAAAGTTTCCTAAGATTCTGATATATCGAAATAGGACTATTATAATAATGATTTTATTAATGATTTTATTAATGATTTTATTAATGATTTTATTAATGATTTTATTAATGAATTTATTAATGATGATTATGAGGGTGAGTGAAATTAAAAAAAAAAAAATTTTAAAATTATAATTAAAATTAAAATTATAATTAAAATATTAAAAATTATAATTAAAATTAAAAAAAAAAATTAAAAAAAAAAAAAATTAAATCAAATAATATAAATATTTATTTACTTCATTTCTTGATCATCTTTATTTTCGGTTTTACTTTCTGTTTTATTTTTGTCAACGCAGGTTTTTTCAGAATTTTCTTGATTCGAGGGCATGATCATATGAGATTCAAACATCTTTTGTTCTTGCTTGATCGAATTTAAAGCTTGAACGACCAAAGCTTTGAATGCATTTTGATAAGAAGATCGAACTGTTGACATTTCATCAATATACTTCAGAAATTTTGAAACATGTTAAATATTATGTTCGATATACAAAAACTAATATTTAAAAAAAAAAAAAAATTGAAATTTTTTTGAAATCTGGAAAAACTAACCTCTTTCCCAACAATTCCCATGGCACTTAACGTCTTACAGATAATATAAAATAATTTATGATTCCTTTCTGGATTACTATCATATAATAAACAGAAATTTTCAAGAAGTGAAACGAAAAGAAGTCGTCCTAAAAATTATTTTGAATTAAAAAAAAATATATATATATATATAAACTAATTTAAAATGTATTAAAAACTATATGTAACCTCTAATTATTTCATAATAATAAAATATGAAATGTATAATTCTACCTTGGCGACGTTTGTTTTCCTCTATACTATTAATATGACGTTTTGCTAGTTTTAAAGGTTTTTTCGCAACGAACTCTTCGTCTATATTAATAAATTTGAACGGAATTAATCTCAATTAATATCATATGAAAATTTTTAAATTTTTTATCAAAAATAATTAAAAAAAAAAAAAAATTTACCATCAAAATCTTTAAATTCATCAAACACGGGAGATTCATTTTTAAATACGGAGTCCGTAACAAAAGACTCTCCAGTATTAATGAAACTTCTCGAATTTGAAGAAAATTCTTCTTCATCATATCCATCATCAAGATTTTTACTATTTCTTATTGAGGAAGATTCTTCAACTGAAGAACAATCATCATCGGAACTTTGGGACCTTGCAAAAAATTTGCTCGTCGGGTAATTAAGGTTAGAATTTTTTCCGTTCATTGACCGTATATTTGCAGTCATAGAAAAGAATTATGCGTCGATTAACATGATATAATTTCCCTTTGGAAAGGAATGTAATAAGGATTTTATATACCTAAATAATTAAATATTTGGTATAGAAAAAAAAAATTTCCAAGTTTTAAGGAAAAAAACGAAACTTCGAAGATGAAAGGACCTAAACACGAGAACTTAATATATTTAGGTTTCGTTACGTCACGTTACATGATTGGATATTCCATGCATTTTGTTTAACGAAAACAGAAATCACATGATAGTAATCAAAGAAACAAATAGAAATTGTTTTATTTAACATACATAAATTAGTTTCCTTAATATATCGTCGTACAGCACAGCACATTTTAACTGATTAAATCACTTTTTTTTTTTAAAACGATTTTACCAATCAGTACCTCAAAAAAGAATACTGCGCGTTCTATTTCTGGAACATATCACCGGAGAAAAAGTGAAATACTTTTACCTTCCATTGTTCATTGTTTCTATCTCTCCAAAGATTTAAATGATATGTCATTTGAAACATTCATTTGCAATAAAAAAGATCACAATCAATTCCTTCAGCACAAAAAATTTATGGTATATTAAAAAAAATTGGTTGCCTGATGGCAACCTCAAATGACGATAACTTTGATCATTTGTCATTTTTGATTTTTTTTTTGAATTTGAATTTGAAAATGTCAGGTCATTTTTAATCTAACCAATCATAATCGTCAATATTTATTATGAAATTTCTTTTTAACTTACTTTTGCATAGCCATAATTCAAAATATTTTTTTTCTTATATCAGAATTGACAATTGTCAAATGACTTTTTTTTTGAACACAATTCACACACAGTGGTGATTTTAATCACTTGAATATAAAGACAATAAATTTTATTTTTTTACTTTAAATCGTTTTTACGCGACATTCCACTAAAGTTTCGAAAAAATCTTCATTTCAAGCTTTACAATGATCTCTCAGTCCGCATAACAATTATATTTTTACAGCCAATCAGGAATGCGACATCTGACCTTAAAATGTAGCTAATCATAATAGCAGAAAATATTCTCTTAAATTAAAATCACTATCCCACTCTGTTAATAATTGAATTTATTCTTCAGAATTTAATTTATCATTATTTATCAGTTTCGTTTTTCCACCACCATTAATTTCATCTTTTAATTTGTATACCTTCTTCTCCATTATCTATTCTAATTCATTTTCTATATATTCAATTCATGAGCTTCGGTTTCTTCATTTGATTCTTCGCCCATCAGAAATAATTGGCATTCTCTTTACTTTCGTTTACTTTTACGAATGTATAAAAAATTTCACTTCGAATTTTGGTACACAACCAAAAAAATTTTTTTTCATGCTATATATATATTTGTATAATAATAAAAATAAAAAATAAAAATAATAAACAATTGATTTATTTTATTAATAAAGGTTCAATAAATAAATAAATAAATAAATAAAAAAGGAAAATAAATTTCGCTGCGTTAATTCACATATGTATTAATCAAAAGCGATATATGTAATCACCTACCGTTAAAATTTAAAACTTAATCAGAATCGTCGTTCAGCTAAACGAGAACTTAAAACGACTTCACAAGAAAAAGGCTTTCGTTATAATTCAAAAAAATATCGAAGAAGATATTGCCATTAATAATAATAAAAAAATATATATATATAAATAATTATTTTCTTTGAATATTTCAAAAATTAGATGCGACATACAAGGAAAAAAAAGTTAATTAATAATATAAATAAATTATAAATAAATTTTTATACATATTATCATCATTTTTTTACTTAGTTCTTTACTTTTTTTTTTTTTAGTATCTTCTGAGTGTTGATATTACCCTTGTTCGGCGGATTTCAAAAATAATTCAAATGCTTTTTTGTAATTTATTTCAACACCACATCCAGAGTAATAAATTGTACCTAAATAATTTAAAGCTATAAGGAATCCTTCAGCAACTTTAGAACATATTTGAAACGCCTTTTCCAAATCTACTTTAGCCTTTTAAATGCATGGTCACAAGATAGACAAGTCCAATTTCTTCGTTAATATTATATAATGATATTAAATTTGAGGAGGTATTCTCCATATCTAATATTGGATTGGCAACCAAGTTAAAGTATTCCAATGCCATTTGATAATCAATAATAGTGCCAATACCATACTTGTAAAAAAAAATCCTATTAAGCTAGAAAACCAATAACGGGATGGATAACTATTCATTTCATTTAGAACTTTAACGGGATTCTCGTTACGTCGTTTAATATAATTTTCGATCATACTTGAACGAATATCTGAGACCTGTTTTTTTGAACAAATCAATAAAAAATTCAAATAAATCCTTAATAAAAACAACAGCTTCATATGAGACATCGACAAAAGTTGGATGAGATTTAAACTTCTAGTTCTTCGATTTGCCTTAATAAAGAAAAGAATTTATAATTAATAAATAAATTTTGGGAATTTAAAAATATATAAAAAATATTAATAAATGCGACTTACATATCTGTAACAGTTCAATTTCAACACTCGCATCAGAGATAAAAGATTTTTAACCACTTGAGAAATATTTGGTCGTGTATTTCCATTATGTTTCCAGCAATCTGTAAAAAATATTCGTTATCCCATTAATAAATTATTATGCCTAAAATGATTTTAATAAATTTCATGAATTTATACCAGTATATATTTCTTGGTATTTAGGAGGTGTTCCGAATATAATCATTTCTCTTTTGCCTTTTGCAATATTATTTAACAATTCTATATTTGATGAGGATTCCATTTCAAAAGGAGGATTGCCACTAGAAATTTCCCAGATAATAATTCCCAGACTGAAAATATCCGAACTTTTATTTTTACCAATTGTGTTAAATATTGAGGGTCAATATATTTAATTGGGCCAAAAGTATTTTTAAGAAATCTCAAAGATTCGGGTATAATTTTTGTTAATCCAAAAACATTCAATTTAATGTTTCCATTCTGAACAAGAAATATTTTCTGAATTCTAATTAAATTCATAAGATCAGAAACTATTTTTGGAAATTCGTTTTCAAATATTTACGAAGAGATCCATTATTGGCATATTCGAATAATCATAAAATAAATAAGTGAGAAATATATTAATAGTAAATTCAAATAATTGAAATAACTCACTTCATTAATTAAATTATCCAATGCAAATTTATCATTTAAATAAATACATTTAAGAGCAATAGCTTTTTGAGAAATTTTAAAAATGGCGTTATAAATATTTCCATTAATTAATTTTATATTCTCAAATTCGGAATATTGATAAATGGAATATTCTCTTTTTAAAGAATATTTTCAATAATTAAATTTTTTCATCCAAATCTCCGATTCTTTTTCGTTTGTGATTGCGACATGATAGTTTATTAAATTTATACATTGTAACGAGTTTAATAAATAAAATAAAAAATTTATCGTGTTACAATTTATGGTGTATTTGTTACTACATTTACTACTCAGAAAAATCTAATAATAAACTACAGTATTTCTATATTTCTCATTGTTTTTGTTCTTGTGACGATCACTGTTATTTGTTTTTGTCACATGATAGGATATACTATTTTTCTTGGAGTAATAATTAATAGAATCAATAATGCATATATATAATTAATAGAATCAATAATGTATATATATAGGTTGGGCTTTATTAAATTATATTTAAATATGTTGTACCTCACTTTAATACAAACACAATAAAAATAGAATACTCATTTATTAAAAAAAAAAAATGTCTAACGAAAGCGATACGTTATTATCTCTCCAATAGAGTATACTTCTTTGGAATATCTCTCTTCATCGTGAACAAGACATAACAACTGGAACTACATCATCTCTTATTAATGAACAAGTTATAACATCTACAATGTCCCCCATTATATTCATGAACAAGAAATTCAATATGTCTTCTAACGCACATACAAAGAGTAAAGTTTAGGATTATTTTACTAAGCCATATGTTCCATCCAAAGTCGCAAAACAAAACAAAATGTCTTAAATGTGGAATGGAATTTTTTCATATGATGGTTCACCTTCATTGAAATATCATTTAATTCCACGTATTAATTGATCGAGGCAAATATGAAGAATCTATTATAGATTTTAGTAGAATATTAGAAAAATTGAATCAAATAATGTAATAAATGTTGATGTAGAAATAGACAAAATTAAGAATTTATTGCAGATTTATTTAAGTAGAGTTATAGAAATTGAACCTAATAATGTAAAAGCATTAATTTAAATACCTCGGTAATATGGATGTATAAAAAAAAAATACAACAAATATTTCGTTGTATTTGTGGAATATCATTGATTTCGTATTATGAACTTATAGAAAAAACCAATTTTATTAATAGTTTTTAAATCGATTATAACTTTTTGAATAATAATATTTCTGATCGAGTTAATTTAATATCTCTGAAAGTACAAAGACTTTCACCAATTTATAACTATCAATAAAAATAATTTTAAAAATAATAAAAAATAATGACATTATTATCCTTATCCTTCTTCGAACGTAATTCAAATGCTTTTTTTTTTTTATTATTATTTTTCCTAACACCTATGTCCTTTTCTATGAAATAAATATGAAATGCCTCTTTCGAATCTTTTTTAACACCGTGACCATTTAAATGCATAGTTAAATCCTATTTCTCGGTTATTTTAATGAATCATTTATTCATCAGATCAAATCTTTCCTTGGTAGCTAAGTAAATTAATAACGGATCCAATATCATACATTTAAAAAAATAAAAATAATTTCGACTGGGTTTTTGTTATGTTCGTTGAGATAATTTTTGACCATGATTGCACTTCCTGATTCTATTTTTTATACGAATCAATGGAAAATCACATTAAATTAGTCCCAAAGACATCAACAAAAGATTTAACTTCTATTATTTCATTTTTTGTCTTAATAAAGAATAATTTATAATTAATAAATGATTTTGGGAATTTTAAAATATATATAAATTATAATAAATAAATGAAACTTATACATAACATCATCAGAAAGATAATGATTCTTGAGAAATATGAGAAATATCTGGTCGTGAATTTCCAGCAATCGTTGACATTATAAATAGTTCCGCTAATTAATTTTAATTCAAAATATTGATAAAATGGAATTGAATATTATCTTCAATAATCAAATTATTTATCCATTCTTTTTGTAGTTTCATTTTTGAAACATGATCAAATTATTTAATAATTTACTATGGTTATATATGAATTAAGCCGATTTATGTAGACAAGTGACACCATGGAAATTATTTTTTTTAATGAAACAGATCATTTTCTTTCTCCTGCTTAATAATAGATTATCTAGATAATAATAATTAATTTAACAAAAAAAAAGATACGCAAAATAAAAAATTATATTATCTAATACTTTTTAAATTAATTAATATCTAATACTTTTTTTTTTTTTAAAAAAAAAAAAAAAAAAAATTATTTCATTTTATTTCCGATCAGATCACAAGTTACACAGAAGATTATATAATAATATTTGTTTACCAGGTTACAAGTTACAGATACGGTATTTAACTTTCATTTAAGGTAATTGATGAAAAAGCTCATCTATTTTTACGTTCTGTTATAAATATAAATATACGCAAACCTTTTTGGGAAAATTTTGTAACTTGTATAAAAATATATAAATAGTAAACTTTGGGGGGCTGAATTATTACTTTTTTTTTTTTCAACTTTAAAAATTTTATACACAATGCTTTTATTTTTTTTTTTAAAAAAAAAGTAAAAAAAAAAAAGAAAGACATACATCATGAGCACCTATACATGTGGTAAAAACGTTACTTGCAGCTCAAATCAATTTTGTTATTTATCATCATATGATGGACCAAGTTGCGAATTAAAAGGAAGTAGAAATAAACCATGGATGCTTGATAATTCACTTTTTCCACCAATTAGATATATAGGTAATATCCGTGGAGAAGGGTTAAGGTCGTCATGTGAATTATTAAATTGTTCAAGATGGACTTATTTAAATAAAACTTGGTTAATTGATTATTTTTATCGAAATTGGATAAATAGTAATAGTAGTAATTCAAATAATGAAACCACAGTTCCAACTGGTAGTTTCGTTAATCCCCTTGAATTTTTGGGAAGTTGTAGATCTAGTTATTCTTTAACACCAGATTTATATTGTTTAAATAGAATTTGTGAGAAAAGATTTAATCAAACGGATGTTTGTACATCTTCAAATCAATGTTTAAGTGGAAATTGTGGGGATATTTCAATAACAAATATAACAAATTTAGAATCTGAAAGTAATCCAAATTCTACTTTATATTGTGTAAATGATTATTCAATTTGGAGATTTTTACGTTCAAGTGGAAAAAAATTTTATATGAATGATACTGGTAATAATCCTAATAATAGGTTTAATAATAGTCGTAATAATTATAATAATAACGGTAGTGGAGCTAATAATAGTACTACTAGTTCAACACTAGCTGCATTAACAATAATTTTTTTTACTTTATTTGTATTATCGACATTATGTTGTTATGCAAAAAAAGTAATGAGAAAACAAAGAGAGGAATATATGCAAAGGTCAGGAGAAGGTGGACTGCGTAGAGGTGGATCCCTTTTATCAACAATAAATCGGAGTAACAGTGTACGTACTTTACCTCCTTATACAGCTGTATCAGATCCACCCAATCAAACCGATATTAATCCCGGAATTTTCTCAACGTTAACCAATTTTCTCTTTCCGGGAGAATTACCACCACCTTATGAAGATGAAAATGATGGTAGCGAAGATCATAATATTAGACGATTTACAAATTTAAATTTTATTAATGATATACAGAACATAGACGAATCTAGAGAAATGGAAAGAGGTGATGAAAGTGATAGAGAAGATCATACTACGATAGAAGTAAGAGATGGTGGTGAAGAAGAGACTCCAGTTGCTTTATCTATGAATACTCCTAATGATAATAATGGTACGAGTGATAATCCAAGCGACGATACAACGAATGATAATACAAATGAAAAAAATGGAAAGAATATTGATACGCTTGAACTCAAAAGTATCGAAAGTATCGAAGAACAAAATACAGATGAAGAAGGTGAAGAAGAAATTGGTAATTCTCACGAGAGACGAGAATCAGAAGTCGGATTAATTGTTAATGATAAATAAGACATCAAGTGTACTGGTCTATACTTGGTTTTATCAAAAATATAATGTTTATTTTTAATAACACAAAAGACTAGTTATCTAATTTTATAATTATATTTATAAAAACATTCCATGAATTTTTATTATTTGTAACATAATCACAACTCAAATATTTCATTATGTATGATATTATTTATTTTTATTTTTTATTTTTTATTTATTTTTATTTTTTTTTTATTTTTATTCCCATTTAAAGAAAAAATTATTCGTTAAATTTTTTCAATTTTTAATTTTTCGGATTCGTATATATATATGTTCACAAAAAAAAACAACCATCGGAGTGTTTTTTTAGTGAAGATTATTGTGTAGTAGATGTTTGATTTAATAAATATTTATATATGTATATTTAGGTAAAAAAAAAAAAAAAAAAAAAAAAAAAAAAAAAAAATTAAATACCAATTTTTCTTGTTTTTTTAAAGGTTGTTTCTTTTTTCTTTTTATCAATGGAGGACCTTAATTTGTTAGAGAAATCTTTTACAGGATAAGTGATTATTTAAAAAATTTGAGCAGAACCCACCACATGGCTTGTCATTTTAAAAGAAGAATTCATGTGGGTCCATACCTAACAGATTTTCAACCCACGTGTGGTGCCACAAGTTAGGTCAGGACGTAAATATCCTTATACTTATCCTAGGTAGAAAATATATTCGTCATTAACCTTCCTCATCCCGTAAAGACTAACACATGAGATATTTCCGATCACCCGCCAAATTTATGGTCTAATCAAATTCAGAAAAATTAAAATATCACGTGTGGATGATAGATAGATGACTAAAAATCACCGCATTTAGCCTACCCTTTAAAAGGCTAACGTGTCAAATTCTTTTAATTATTATTGCCTTTTACGAAGAGTCATAAAAATTGACAGGCAAAGCCAATAAATTTTAAGTGATAGACAAGAAAATTAATAACTCATTTCATTTTTTTGAATGTAATCTTCATGATCTCCGCACTGGGATTGCCTTAATTATATTTCCAAAAAAATTCAAAAAAAACATTTTATTAAATAAAAATGTTTCTTAAAATAGTATACTAAAGGAGATTTTTTTTTTTAATAGTTATTTATTAAAATACAATCATATGCTTTATTGAATCGAAAAAAGAGATAACCTTTTTTAGAAATGCATTCATAGTCCTATAATCACATGTAAAAAAATTAACGAAAAAAATTATATATATATACGTGAGATTTCTTTGACCAAAAAAAAAAATTTTTTCTCTCTTTTACAAAAAAAATAAAAAATAAAAAATAAATAGAATTCACCCGATACATATAAAATAAGTTACTATTTATTATAATGAAAACCAAGTTCATAATTTCATTATTATTACTTTTTCTTGTCACATTCACTTTGGCAGAAATAGCTCGCGTTCCAACAAATGGTAAATTTGAGAATTGTTTTTTTTATTATTATATAGTACATAAATCTTTTTTTTTTGAAGCAAAATAATATTCTCAAACGTTTAACATTTTTATTTTATTTATTTTTTTATTTAGTTGAATATAATAATATAACGACAGAAATAAATGCATTAAATTTCAGATTTACGCATGTCGATAATGTCGCCGCCGATTTCGACGAAATCGATTTCGATAATATTGCTGATGATCAACCAGGATCAGGCTTCTATTTTATACTTGCTTGCTTCATAATAATTGGTATCATATTCCAAACGCATAATACCACCCAGAATCCATCAAATTCATCTATACAAGAACTTAGACCAATTCATTCAACTCATCGCTGAATCGATAATTAATGTGTGAAGTATTAATGCGGGAACATTTAATTAAGTGATGTGATAAGTAAATATGTAAATTTTGATAGTTTACTATTTGTGTTGCGTTAATTCATTTTTTTTTTAATATATATATCGATATGAAATATGTAATTTAGTATAAATAAATATTTCAAGTCAAAAATACTTCAATGTAAATATTGCATGGGTTAAAGAAAGATATGTATAAATAAAATATATTTGACGGGTTTTAAATATTTACATCTTGATTTATTTATTTACTTATTTACTTGCGTTAATACAGTAATTATATGATTCAACTAGAATCAGATTGATATATGTATAATAAAATTGTTATCCAGACAGTGTGACGCTATGAGACAATTATAGGTAATCTTGGGGTAAAAAATTCACTCGGGTGAAAAATAAGATTTCTCTTAATGAGTTTATTCCGATGATCGTGCTTCTATTTTATTATTTTATACTTAATTACTTCGGTATCATATTCTATACCGTCCCAGAACATCGAATCCATCTTTACAGAAATTTAGATCAATTCACTAACTCTAACCTTGAATGATGACCAACGTGGAAATTTAATGTGACAATTAGTAAAAGTACTATGCCTGTTTACTGTTTGCGTTGATTTCATTTTTATCGATGTGAATATGCAATTTAGTAATAATAAATATTCAAATACTTAATGTAAAAAATATTTGATAGGTTTCACAAAAATATCCACATCTCGATTTTTATTTACTGATCTAACCGGAATAAGATTGATATTATTCTTTAAATACTGGTCTCGTATTTTATTAAATACTATTTATTTAGTACATTATATAATATATGAAAAATAAATATAAAAATTATCATTTAATATCAATATTATTATAATTAATAAAAATTATTTTTAGACTTATCCATCTTTAATGAATTCTTTCTCATATTTGTTAATACTATCGTATGTTTTATAATAATTTATTTGGGTCTGTAAGAAACACATTTTCTCATTTCTTGATAAGCTAATATCAATTTATTTACATTATTCCTATAGTTCTATTAAGTCTATAATAGATTCCTCATATTTTCCTATTTCTACATAAGCTTCTCCTCTACTCTTTAACGCATCTACATTATTAGGTTCAATTTCTATATAATAGATTCTTCATATTTGCCTATTTCTGTGTAAGCTTCTCCCCTAATTATCAACACATCTACATCATTAGGTTCGAATTCTAAAGCTCTACTTAAATTTGCAATGGATTCTTCATATTGTGTATTAATAAATAATTTTTTCCTTGATTTATTAATGTAATTACATTATTTGGTTCAATTTCTAAGACTCTATTCAAATCTGCAATAGATTCTTCATTTTTGAATATTTTTGAATAAGTTTTTCCTCGAACTACCAATGCATTTACATTATCAGGTTCAATTTCTAAAGCAATATTCAAATCTGCAATAGATTCTTCATATTTTCCCATTTTTTGATAAACTTCTCCTCTACTTATCAATGCATCTACATCATCAGGTTCGATTTTTAAAGCTCTGCTAAGATCTACAATCGATTCTTCATATTTGCCCATTTCGATCCCCTATTTATCAACTCATCTACATTATCAGGTTCAATTTTACTTAAATCTGCAATAGATTCTTTATATTTACCCATTTTTTGATAAGTTTCTCCCCTACTTATTAATGCTAAATCATCAGGTTCAATTTCTAAAGCTCTACTAAAATCTGCAATAGATTCTTCATATTTACATATTTCCGCATGAGCTATTCCCCTATTTATCAATGCATCTACATTATCAGGTTCGATTTCTATAGCTCTACTTAAATCTGTGATGGATTCTTTATATTTATATATTCTCGAATAAGTTTTTCCTCGAATTACTAATGCATTTACATTATTTGGTTCAATTTCTAAAGCTCTATTACAATCTTTAATAGACTCTTTATATCTACCTATTTTTAGATAAATTTTCCTCGAAATATTAATGTATCTTTATTATCTTTATCGTTTCCATCAATTTTTAATAGTTTATTCAAAACAGTAAAAAATCCTTCTTCATCAATTAATATATCAGCATTTTTTTGTTTTAAGTTTTGTAATTGTAAATCCAAAGGTTGAATTTGATTTTTGTGTATTTGATTCATTGCCAGACCTGAATTAGTAAAAATATCAATATTATGCTTTTGAATTAAGTGATATTTCAAAGAAGAAGGTGAACCATTATATGAAAATTCCATTTCACATTTAAGACATTTTGTTTTGCAATTTTTATCATTGAATGAACCATATGGCATGGTAAAATATTCCCAAACCTTACTTTTCTTATTTGCAAGAGAAATTGGACTAGATTGTAATAAACTATTTTTGCCCTCAGAAAGAAAAGATGGCTCAGAATAAGGAAAAAAATTTGATCGTCGACTTGGAATTTGTCGCGAATGTCTTTTCACGTGACTTAAATTCGTAGACATGTCAATTTTATGTCTATGAACCAAATGGTATTTTAATGAAGAAGTTGAACCATAATATGAAAATTCATTTCCACATTCATGACACTTTGTTTTACGACTTTGGGATGGACCATATGGCTTAGTAAAATAATTCCAAACTTTACTTTTTGCATGTGAATTAGAAAATGTACTGGATTCAATTTGGATTTCTTGTTCGTGAATAATGGAGGACGTAGTTGCTATATCTTGTTCATTAATAAGAGATGATGTAGTTCCAGTTATGTCTTGTTCACGATGAAGAGACGTCCCAGAATCAAAAGAAAGTCGGAATTGAAAAGTGTCGTCAATCGGAGAGATCAAATAATTAATAATGCTTTCGTTATGCATGCTAAATTTTTTTTTGACTTTTTTTTTTGATTGATCGTAGAAATCAAATAATTTTTTATAAAACAACTATCGATTTTATTTATTTCATAAATCCAAATATTTATTTGTAAACATTTATTGATTAATCGATTAATCAGTACTGCATATATTTTTTTTAATATTTTTCACACCACTGTGTGACAACGGATTCACATACACAAAATAGGTTATCTCATGAATGGCTCAAATTTAACATTATTTTTACGTATTCTTTATTAATACCTATGACATAAATACATAAATATTCTATTTTTAGTACTACTAAATTAATTGCTGATCCGTCTATGAAAGAGAATGGGAAATTTTTAAACTATGTAAAATTCGTGGAAGTGTAGGGGAAAAATGTCATTCGTCCGCATGTGATTAGTCAGCGTGATCGTATTTGTAATGTCCTGCGTATTTTTCACATGCGAAAAACAGAAAATGGCGTAACGAAATGAAAAATGCAGATCGTTTACGGCGTAGTATTTACACGAACTAACTTTCTAACTTCTTTTTGGTGAACGATCCAAGCAAAGATCAAAGTCCTTGGCAAGAAATAGAAATTAATACAACTGATCTAGTTCCCTTCTCGGCTTAGTAAGAGGGAAAAATAGTTGACGGGGGTGGTCACAATCTGTCAGTGGGAATTTTTTACAATATGAATATTAGTAAAGCTGAATTCTTCTAGATCGAAAGAACAGAAATTAACGGAACATAGAAAATCTTGTTCGTAAAAATTTCATTAATTGATGTACGCTAATCAAACAATCATCTAAATATGACAAGAAAATATTCATTTATTACCTATAAACCCAATCTCATGCTTATGACCAAGAAACCCAAAATGTTTTGAGAAATCAACAAATTAAAAAAAAAAGGGGAGCTATTTATCTACATTGTCTTAATACATAAAATTTGAGCAAAACCTCTTCTCTTTATCTATTTCAGAAAGTTATAATAAAAGTGTACAAATTCTCAATTAAATTGCATCAATCAATTAAATGAACCAAAGTACTCCGTTCCTGGTTTTAGCGCGACCACATGTAACACCAAAAAATATGATTTTTTGGCTGTTCGCTATATATAATTTACATATATAATGTAGTAATTCTTAAATCTTCGTTTCCGGCTAAGTAAGTATATATTTTTTAAAATAATGTCTAACCTAACTTTTTAACTTCCCAATATATCAATTTATAAATATTTAATAGTTAAGTAAGATGCACAATTGACTGGTTCAAAAATGTGTAAAGAAATAATTAACATATTTCCAAATTTCATTCTCTTTCATACGCGAACTGCCAATTAAAGGTTTAATTTTTTAATATATTTAAATATGCGGATCACTGGTTGATCTTTTAATATTAATTAATCTGCTAATTTTCACCTTTTGGATCTTATATTATCTGAGTAAAAGAAATAATGTAAGCAATGCAAATATTTGAAAATACATAATATATAACTAAAAGAATAAAATAAGATATACAACCATGATAAATTTTAGTCATTGTATTAAATAAATAAAAAAAGTAGATTAATTTAATAAATATCTAAATAAAGTAACTATATAAATCATTAAATAAATTAATTGAATTCAACATCTTCCGTTCTATTGATTGTTCTAGAACCATTTTCTAAAGTATTAAAGTATTTAAAGTATTTAAAGTCAAAAAATTAATAATAATTAATTAGTGTTTCACGAGAAATGGAAAGTTTTTTATTATCTAAGTAAATTACCATATACTTATAATCTTTAAATATCATAATTCTAATATAATAATTTTCCATTTTATTTTTTTAAATAAATTTTTTGATTCTTAGTTTTCTATAGAATAAATTTTATACTAATAGCTTTAAAATTACAACTTTACATAAGAGCCCAAAATAAACAATTTGATGTTTTTGCAAATTTTATTTATAAAAATGGTCAATATATTAAATTTACTATAATTAATATCCACGAATTAAAAAAAGTTTTTTTCCATACTTTTCAACACTTTTACATGGTTAGGTTCAATTTCTAAAACTTTATTTAAATCTTCAATAGATTCTTTACACATATACATTTTTAGATAAAATTTTCCTCGAATTATTATTGCATCTTTATTACCCTTATCATTTCTATGATTTTTAATAGCTTTTTCAAAGTAGTAAAAAATTCTTCTTCGGTAATTAATATATCTGAATTTTTTGTTTTAAGTTTTGTAATTTGTTGATTTTGTATTTGATCTTTTGCGTTAGTAGACATAACAATATTATGCCTGTGAATTAAATGATATTTCAATGAAAAAGTTGAAAATTCCATTTCACATTTAAGACATTTTATTTTGCAATTTTTAACATATGAACCATATGGTTTGGTAAAATAATTCCAAACTTTACTTTTCTTATTTGCAAGAGAAATTGTACTAGATTGTAATAAACTATTTTCATTTTCAGAAAGAAAAGATGGTTCAGAAAAATTTGATTGTTAACTTGGAATTTGTCTATTCACTTGACTTAAATTCATGGACATATCAATTTTATGTCTATTCTTCAAATGAAGGTGAACCATGATATAAAAATTCATTTCCCACATTCATGACATTTTGTTTTGCGACTTTTGGGTGGACCATATGGTTTAGTAAATAATTCCAAAACTTTACTTTTTGCGTGTGCATTAGAGGATGTACTGGATTCAATTTGGATTTCTTGTTCATGAATAATTGGGGATGTAGTTTGAGTAGCTATATATTGTTCATTAATAAGGGATGATTTACTGTAGCTCCAGTTATTTGACCGAAAAAAAAATACGATTTTCTGCTCCTTATTTCTTGTTCACAATGAAGAGATGTCTCGAAAGTTGGGGTTGAAAGTGTCGTCTATTAGAAAGAAATAATGAATAACGCTTTCGAAAGACATGACATGTTAAGTTTTTTTTTATAAAATATGGTTGCCGTCAAATTTTTTGATTTATTTGATTAATCGTAAAAATCAAATAATTTTTTTTCGAACGCTATCAAATTTATTTTATTTTTGATTTCGTAAAAAATCAAATCCAAATCTGTTACCACGATCAATATTGATAATACTAGATTTAGAATTAATATTAATTCCCAGATCCATCTTTACAGGAATTTATAACTCATTGCTGAAAGATAATTGATGTGTGACAATTAATGTGATAAGTGATGCGATAGTTTACTATTTGTGTTGTGTTTCTTCATTTTTTATACCGATATGAAATATGTAATTTAGTACAATAAATATTTCAAGTCAAAAATAATTCAATGTAAATATTGTATGGGTTAAAGAAAGATATGCATAAATAAAATATATTTGATGGGTTTAACAAAAATATTTAAATCTTCGATTTATTTACTTATTTACTAGCGTTAATACAGCAATTACGTGAATAAGATTGATAATATTCTTTAGATAAATTATTTCTATAAAATAAACTGGTAATGAGTCTTGCACTTCAGAAATATTATTTTAATTCAATCAGGGTTTTTTTGATGAAAATAATATTTTAATTCAATAAATTTTAAATACTATTTATTTGTACATTATAAATATATGAAAAATAAAAAAATATAAAATTATCATAGGTAAAATTAATAAATGAATTCTTTCTCATATTTTAGTCAGCAAAGAAATTATTACATTTGATACCAATAAAAATTTAAATTTCTGGAAATTTGCAATTTATAAGTTTCTTCGCGAATTTGTAATGCTTTTGTGTTATTGGGTTCAATCTCTATAGCAATATTTAAATCTGCAATAGATTCTTCATATTGGCTCATTTTTTTATAAGCTTTTCCCCTACTCATCAATGCATCTACATTATCGGGTTCAATTTCTATAGCTCTACTTAAATCAGCAATAGATTCTTCATATTTTCTCATTTTTTTATAAGCTTTTCCTCTACCTATCAATGCATCTATATTATTAGGTTCAATTTCTATAGATTTACTTAAATCTACGATGGATTCTTCATATTTACCCATTCTTTTATAAGCTTCTCCTCTAATTATCAATGCATCTGCATCATTAGGTTCAAATTCTAATGCTTTATTTGAATCTGTAAGAGATTCTTCATACTTGTCCATTATGAAATAAACTGTTCCCCTACCCTTCAATATATTTACATTATTAGGTTCAAATTCTAATGCTCTACTTAAATCTTCAATACATTCTTCATATTTGCCTATCTTGTAATAAGCATCTCCCCTACTTGTCAACACAATTACGTTATCAGGTTTAATTTCTAAAGCTCTATTTAAATCTGCAATAGATTCTTCATACTTACTTATTTTTAAATAAACGCATCCCCTAGCTATCAACGTATTTACATCATCAGGTTGAATTTCTAAAATTCTACTAAAATCTGCAAGAGATTCTTCATAATTATCCATTATTATATAAACTAATCCTCTACCCATCAATGCTTTTACATTATTAGGTTCAATTTCTAAAGCTTTACTTAAATCTGCAAAAGATTCTTCATATTTGCCCATTATTCTACAAGATTCTCCCTTACTTATCAACACTTTTACATTATTTGGTTCAATTTCTAAAACTTTATTTAAATCTGCGATAGATTCTTTATATTTACACATTTTTTTATATGCATATCCCCTATTTATCAATGCATCTACATCATTAGGTTTAATTTCAATAACTTTACTTAAATCTGCAATAGATTTTTTATATTTAATAAGGGATGATGTAGTTCCTGTTGTTATGTCTTGTTCACGATGAAGATGAAGAGATGTTCTAGAATTAAAAGAAAGTTGGGATTGAAAATTGTCGTCTGTTGGAGAGAAATAATTAATATTGTTTTCGTTAGACATGTTTAATTTTTTTTTTTTTTTATAAAAATATGGTTGCTGTCAAAATTTTTGATTTATTTGATTAATCGTAAAAATCAAATAATTTTTTTTTTTTTATAAATGCGACCGCTATCAATTTATTTATTTTTGATTTCGTAAAAAAATCAAATCTCTTTTACCACGATCAAATAATTCGCATATTGATAATACTAGATTTAGAATTAATATTAATTATTCTATAGATAAATAAGTATAAATTTACGTGTTTATCTGTTTATAGATAGATGTACAATTTCTCACTTTGTATTTTTTACATATATCTGTTTAATCAATAAAAGTTTATCCGTTGGATTGAAAAAAAAAATAAGTATAAATTTACAAACCACGATGACATATTCTAATGGATTGTCAGTTTTCACATGCTACTATGTTTTAGTAGGCAAATTTGCCAACAATCGGATAATGGTGTATGGTCGATATTAATGTTCATCGAATGATAAAATGTTCCAGAAATTTGTACAGCTTTTCCATTGGCTATTACTACAAGAATTCGATAATTTGTAAATCAAAAGTGCTGATATATATCATAAATTTTACAGTACATTTATTAATTATCTAATTACCCATGCATAAATATTCTACTTTAATTTTTCTTCCTCCTAAATTAAAGAAATGTACTGTAAATTATAAAATCTAATCCTTATTTTTTAATTTCTTATTAATATATATTTTACTCTCCATTCCAGCTTAAGTATGCACTTTTATTATTAATTAAATCTGTTAATTTTCACCTTTTGATCTTATTTTACCTAGAGTAAAAGAAATAATTTAAGCAATGCAAATATTTGTAAATTAAATCATGATAGTATTAATAAAGTATTTAATCCGTGATCCGTGTAACAACCGGACAACCGGACCAAACTATTATAAAAAAAATGGGGCAAAATTCTCCGATCGACAAATTAACGGATAGAAGTCCGTTATCTAATTATGGATCGCTTTATATTTTTTTTAATTTGTAAATAAGTGTTTAAACTATTATTTCTAGTAATTTTTTTAGTTTTTTTTTCAATAAATTTCTAACATTCATGTAAATTTAATATATTAATAAAGCATCTTAACATGCCCTGATGTTTAAAAATAAAATAAAAAAAATAAAAAAAATAAAAAAAAAAAATAAAAAAATAAAAAAAAATAAAAAATTGATAATTAAAAAAGTAAATAATAAAATAGAAAGATCTATCCATATAGTAATATAAAAATTGATTTTAAATTCGTGAAAAAAATAAATTAAAAGAAGCAAAGTCTATCGATGCTTTCAATATCACCTTCTTCTTATTATTTAAATGTCACTTTCCTCTAGATTCGCTTCCTAATATTTAAGTATACTTGGTAATTTAATTTATAGAATCTTAATTTATAAAAAAAAACTTTTCCAAAGAGTTCATCGATGCTTTCAACATCTAATTGTGAAGTACCATAATTTCTTCTTTATATTATTACGAATTAGAATTGATCGAAAATAAAGATAAAATTAGAATTCAATTAAACAAGTCAATCAAAAATAATAAATTATGAATCTTTAATTTTAATATTTTAATTCTTCACAAATTTACATACAATCTTGATCACCATGCTTATTTGATCTTTATTTGCTACTTATAGATATTGAATGTGATATTAAATACATGTTTAAATACATCTGGAACTATAGATCCCAAGAAAAGAAAGTATTTTCATCTAACTTAAAATTAAAGACTTCTCACATGATACGACAAAAAATAATAAAGTTATAATGTACAAATTTTAATTTTTGTTCATTTTTTACATCACTCAAAAATAAAATGTACATTTATCATATATAGACGGTTTATTTTTGTAAAATTAAAAAAATTTAATAACTACTTTTCAAAAAAAAATTTGCGATGTCTCTACAGATAAGTAATATCTGATAATGGTAATAATTTCTTATATTAATTTTAAGGGATCGTTATCATTTTGTAAGAATAGAAATATTGAATTTTAATTTTATTAACCGTCTTTTATTACTAACAGCATATACATAATCTTAACATGTAATTGATTGTAATTGGTATTGTTAAAGTCCTAAAAAGCAACTATCATTCAAATACTTGAAGATATTATTGGATTGAGTTATACAGATTGTAAAGGAATTGGTAAAGGTTGAAATATAATACACCAGAAGAAATGCCAGGAACAAGGTGAATTTTAAATATAATGGAAGGTTGGTGATTTTTTTTTTATTTTAATTCTCTTACTAAAAGTGTATATTAATTGTTCCTGTGTTATGAGACAAGAAACTCAGAGTAATTTCTTTTAGTCAAAAATGATATTTATTTTGCCTTATAAAATTCTTGATTTGACTGAAAATATTTCTTTTACAAAAAAAAAAAAAGCATTCACCAGATACATATAAAGAAGCTACTACTTATAGTAATTGTCACAAACAAATTATGGTAAATTGGTATTCGTTCTTTTTTGTTCACCAAGAAAAAATAATAATATATTATTATTATACAGTACATAAATCCTTTTTTTTTAAAGCAAATTGTTTAACATGATTTTATTTAGTAGATTATAATATTTGAGTTTATCCGATCAGTGATGGCAAATGACTTGGTCATTTGCCTACTTTCAAATGACTTATGTTAATAGTAATAAATCACAATAATAAATAATAATAAATAGTATATAAATATTCCTCACCTAGGGTGAGCTGAAATAATCCGGCGATTACCGGGTGAAAAATAAATGTGACAAATAGGGTTTTCTAACCCTAAACCAAAAAAAAATATATAATAAAAATTGATATCCAGACGGTGTGATGCCATGCAAAAATTATTGGGGTGAGGGTGAGAAATTCACCCAGATGAGAAATAGGGTTTTCTCTAATAAATAAAAAATAATCATTTGCTACATGTGATATTACTATATAAAAAGTGACAAATTATGATTGGTTAGCTTAAATGACCTGAAATACCCAAGTGACTAAATACCAAGTCACTTAGTCATTTCAGATAATTAATGTATGACAATTAATGTATTGGTATTGTGTTAATTAATTTTTACTGATATTAAATATTTAATTTAGTATAATAAATATTTCAAGTCAATGTAAACATTGCATGGGTTAAAAAAAGATTTGTATAAATAAATATATTTGATAGGTTTAACAAAATTATTTAAATCATGATTTTTTATTTGCTTATTTACTTGCGTTAATAATATTGATGATATTCTTGGTATAAATAAACTGTTTGTATTTTCAGA